CAAGCATTCACACTGCAGTTTCTTCAGAAAATGCACTTTCTAGTTCATGTTCTGTTTTTATGTATCTTCTGAAACAGGTTACCATCGGCAACCACACTGTGTGTTGTTAACCCCTTCTACAAATACCCTCTTTTAATGTGTAACACTTTGTGTATGGTCTTGTGTTATCTCTGGTGGATATTAGCTGCATGTGTGGTGTCACCTTTCCATTTTCTAACAGCACACTTGCATACCTTAGTGCTTGTCCTCTTCCCCCTTTTGTGGTGGTCTGGACACTGTGTCAATCCTCCACTTCCAGGCAGTCGCTTGTCTCCCCGAATTCCTTAACCTAATTTGATTGCCCACACTAAAACAGCAGCCTCAGCCCTCTTCTGCTCCTCTCCTTCTCTCCCACTTTTCAGTCCAATGGCAGTCAGTTTTTTTTTTTTTTTTCCAGCTTTGTCCCGTGTCTCTCTTTGTCCCACTGTCTCTTTCATTGCCATCTCACTCCAAACATGGCAAATGTCAAACTCAGACAGTCTTCTCAAAAGTCCTTCACACACAGTGAGGTTGCAGCTGGCTGGAAACGCATCTCCATCCATCCAATCTAGATGGTGGTTCTTCTCTTTCTGATGCCGTTTGCCCACAGCGCTGCTGGACCTCTCTGCTCAGATTGTCTCTTGGACTCCTGTCCACTGTTAAATGTTCATGCTCGTGCTTCTGAAACTGCACTCTGTGTCTTCAGGGAGAGATTCGTTTCCTTGGAGCTTGCTTGTTCAGGATGAGGACGGGAAGCTGCAAAACAATTCAGCCAAAAAAATTCTGGCTGGGTGTTTTCTATTTTTTCTAATGATTTCAACCTATAATTTTCTTCCGACTGCTGCCCGTGGAGAATTGATCCAGGTCCGTTCCCCACCTGTAAACGACAGACTTTCATTATTATCATCATCACTGCTTAATCATCACACATCTCTCTCTGTCTGTGTTTGTGTGAACAATCCTTTCTTAAAAGCAGAAAATGACATTGTAGTTGTTTTTCGGCTGATCAAAACCTTTTTCCTATGATTTTTTTTTTTTCTTCGTCTACAATGTAATTTGTCTCTTTTTCACTCTTTTTTTTTTTCTTTTTCTTTTCTTCACAATAGCTGGTGGTCTGCAAAATCACTGCTCTCACTCACAATCAAAGGCAATTACTTTTGCACAGTGCACAAAAACACTGTGATGTCAGACACATTCACACTCACTTTTTCATCTGCATAAATAAATCATATGGCTGGAGATATGTGCCATGCTGATCCATAGGCATGATCACACGTTTAATTATTTTTAATCCAACAAAACAAATAAACAAAAACATGATGCTGATGCCACACACACACACACACACACACACACACACACACACGAGTCAAGGTGCAGGAAAACTGCTCATGGAAACGCTGCACACTCCAGTTATCATAGTTATCATAACTCTGTTTCTTTCATATTCAATACAGCTTCTCCATCATGGACTCTTAGATGTTTCATACATGGTTCAGCATTTTAGTTGTTTTCACAGGCGTGCTCTATATCTCAACAATGGCTCATAATAAGACGACAGTCTTTCACACAGGTCAAGTGCCTCTATGCACTTCATTAGTTTAAGTATTTACCCATATCACTTCACCTCACAAGTCATTGTACTGAATTTGAGCAACCACAAGCTTAATGTAGATTACTTTTAACAACTATCCACCTCAATGGTTTGGCACACAGGCTGTTAACATTGTGTCAGGAAGGGGTGGGGGGAAAGCCACCCACCAGAGCACAGCTGCTGATGTGGGCTGGCCCTTTCCACACACACTCCTGGTTGCTTAGGAAACCCATGATAACAACAACAGCTGCTGACGTCACACACCACGCGGTCTGCTCCGCACACACAACAACAACAACGAGACGAAAATGACAATAACACAAAATAGGCCTACTCCGGACTCAGACCGGACCGCTCGGGACCCTGACCCAGCTGTGGGACGCTCACCCACTCGCGCGACAAAACCCAATGAAGGGACGCTCGGGACACACACCCAGGGCGATTTCAAAACCGGACACACACCGGACGCTTGGGACCCTTGGGCGATTTAACCAAAACTTCTTTTTCGGGACACTAACCCAGTTATCGCTCCACAAAGCAGCGAACTTCTCAACGCCTCACAAAATGGCGGAGACTGCACAACGACACGGTTATAGAGTCGGCCTCTTTAAACTTACTTGGCGTTGCTTAGCGTGTAATATCAGCCTGAATCCCGCCGATCGCCATTCATCGAGGAGAAAGACAGACAGCGAATCCACAGGAACTTCCTGGCTGACGTCAGTCTTTCAGCGTGCCTCTCCCCCCCCCCCCCCCCCTCGGTGAATGCGATCCCAGGGAGCCGGCATCGAAGGACCAATTAATGTTAGGTTTGTAGCTTGAACCTATTCGCTGGAACGTTAAGACAATATAATTACACTGCAAGCAAGACGCAAGTAGGCAAACTTCTTCATGGTACTCGTGCACGGGAGAGACTGGACAGAGCGCCGTCCCTTCGCTTGACCCCAGTAGCTCTCGTCCGTTCTCCCGTACACTATCCTTTTATTGAGGTTACATGAATATGCATAGGGTCATTAACATATGACGTCTACATACACACAAAGAGTACCGTGTGTGTGTGTGGGGGGGGGGGGGGGGGGGGGGGCAGAGGAGGAGCCAGACATTTGAAACACCCGGGGCTTAGCCCTAAAGGGTAGTATGCATGTGGGATTTTTTTTTTTTTTGAGGGGGGGGGGGGGGGGGGTGTAGAAATGACTGAAAGATTAATAGGCTCTGTTTTGAGTTTTGTTCAAAAAAGAATGACTTCATATAGGGAAATATATATATCACACATGCAGGACACCTTAAACTAGTTTTTTAATTGAGCAGCAAGACAGAACGAAGTCGGGGCTGTATCAAGACACAGGGACTAAACCCCAATTCAACCAGACCCAGAACTGATCCAGAATTAAAACAGGACTACAACAGTTCAAAAGCAGGATTACTGAGGACTTAACCAAGACATAACCACAATCAGAACTAGATGATAGTAGCACTAAAAATCATCATAGACCTGCACTACACTTATTTATTTAATTCTACCAAAGTACAATATTTAGATTGAGAAAAGTTTATATAATTATTTAGCCTTGTTGTGCAAACAAGCCTGCAGAACTTAATAAATATAGAATTTGAAAAATAGCAAACCTAAAAAGAAACACTAGGTACGAGATACATGAGTACCTATGATACAGTGATACTTTTAGTAAGCAACCATTTGACTAACATGTGTGTCTCACCTGCTCTTGTTCATCTCTGTTCTGTCCTCATTCTCCATCTCAATCTCTGCTCCTCTCTCTCCCTCTTTGTGCTGACAATCATCAAATCTACAGTTGAAACCAGATATTTACAAACTCTTCAGATCAAAACACAAACACTTTTTTAATTGTAACATCAAATCAGACTAAATGTTTATTTTTTTAGATTGATAAATATAAAAACATATTTGTTAACTTTAAGAGTAAAGAGAGAAACTGTCTGTGTTTTTTAATTGCAAATGGCACCAAATTTTATTCAAACTGAGCCACACTTATGGAGCTCCACGATTCTTTTCCTGGTGTTTTGGTTGACATCTCTGGATTTTCCCATGTCAAAGAAACAGGCTCTGTGTTTTGCCTTATATGCATCCACAGCTGTGCCACCAATTTACTCACATGGACTCTACGAACCCATCAGAAGCTTCTTCAGCTCAGAATGGAATCGTCTGGAGTTTTCTTATCAATTAACAATAAACTTAGTGTACATGTACTCCTAAATTTAATGAAAGTGATAAAAAATAGACAGCTCTGTCTCTCTTTATTCTGACATTTAACTAATTCAAAATATATTTCAATATTTATCTAAAACAAAAGTTTACTCTAAATTGATGTTGTACAGTAAAAATGTTTTATGTTTTCTCCCTAAAGTGTAAATATCTGGTTACAAATGTGAATATCCTGCTGTGTACTGAAATCCCTCTTGTTTTGCATAGAAATATACTGAACAACATACAAAGCATAATATATAAAATAACATTTACCTGAGTTTTTTCTTTGAAAGAACCCTCTAATGTCCATTCTTATATTTCAGTACATAACTGAAACCGAATTAGTCGGGGAGGGTAAGAACTGAAAATATGAAATAAACACACGTAAGCTAAGACTCTCTAAAAAATAGCATTTGTTCGGCTTTTCATTTCGCCATTTGTTGATTCACTTGAAGAGCAAGTAAAATAATATTGGTCAAGTGATCAGTTTCATATCAATCTTTCGTGATGCACCGTCATATTTACATTATTTGTACGGTACGAATGATTTGCTTTGGTACCTGGTCAAACTTAAGCTCTCCTTAGTATGGCTGGCTCCGTCTCTCCAACAGCGCACACAGGCAGCAGCTCCCCCCGCCCCCTCGCTCAGTCGCTTAGTGCCTGAGCTTGGATCATACCAATATCAGGGGGGATTCACGCACAGTCGTAAATTCCCACAGTGTGCACTATGTGCTTCGAATATTGTGTGTACTTTTTGTTTTATACAGTTGTCAGCCAGGCATCTAACTATGAAAAAATTACACTCCAAAATACCCCGGGCTTCTGACAAAACAACCCGGGCTTAAGCCCCGTAAGCCACCCCCACGCTCCGCCCCTGGGGGGGTACTGCTGATCAAAGGGTCATAAAAGCACACAAGCAAACATCCTTGGTCAGGAAGAGGGTAGACTAGACCCCCCCGGTGAGGAAGTCCAGCAGTTCATCTAAACAGAAAAGCACTTAGACTAGAACAAATGTAACTACGTTAATCCTACCATAAAACTATAAGGCAAGTTGCAAACTTTTCCCATGCCCCCAAGATGCAGGTGTGCATTCCAGGAATGCACACCAAGCCTCTGTAGCCTGTTAAAGATCACACAACTTATCACTACACAATTAATTATACACTTCTAAGCATCTATGGTTAAATATTTCTAAGCATAAATGAGTAAATGTTTCTAAGCATAAATGACAATCAACAATACAACTCTATCATCGTCCATAGCAGAAGTAAAGTCTGGGGACAAGTGGGGCACTGAGGCAGTTAAACATGTCCTTGGTGGCAGGACCCCTGGAATGGATGAGGGTCGTCCTGAGTTCCTTACGGCTATGGATATTGTAGGACTGTCTTAGTTGAGACGCCTCTACAATGCTGCGTGGAGATCAGGGGCTGTACCTCTGGATTGGCAGACTGGAATTGTGCTTCCCATCTTCCATAAGGGGGACTGGAGTGTGCTCCAGCTACTGTATATAGGGATCAAACTACTCGGCCTTCAGAGGAAATTCAATGCCAGGGTACTGGAATAGAGAGTTTGTCAGCTAGTTGAACTGCTAGAACTGTAGGAACAATGTGGTTTTTCTACTGGGTGCGGAACACAGCTCTCTATCGTCTCGAGGATATTTGAGGGTCTATCGCAGTTCGCCCAACCAGCCATTGGTTGTGTTGACTTGGAGAAGGCCTTCAGTTAAGTCCTTCAGAGTATTCTTCTGTGAGATGCTTCAGTAATATGGGGGCGTGAGGCCCATTGTCATGGTTCATTCTGTCCTTATAGAACTGTTGCAAGAGCTTGGTTTGCATTGCTGACAATAAATCGTAATTGTTCCTCGGGGGTGCTGGACTCCACCACGGTTGCCCTTTATCACAGATTCTGTTCATAATTTTTATGGACAGATTGGTGCTGTGACAATGAGCTTTCTCCCAAGGGTGGCTGCCCTCTCTCTTAGAGATGGCATGAGGAGTTTGGCCATTCAGGATGGACTAGGAGCACTCTTCTTCCAGATCAAAAGGAGCCAGTTAAGGTGGTTTAGGCATTTGACTAGATGCCTCCTGGACACCTCCTTGGTGAGGAGTTCTGGGCTCCCAGTGTTCCACTTGGAAGAAGGCAGCTGGGGGCAACCCGTTGGAGAGATTATGGATGGATGGAGTTTATTTACCTGAGAAAACCCAGAATTCCCAAGCGATACTGGATCAGAACCACAACCACTTCTTGGTAAGCAGCCAAGGCAGAGTCATCATATGTTGAAGCTGATCCCAGCGTAAAGCCCCCACCATGGATTGAGACCATGACCTAGAAAGAATAATAAAAGAGCTTTCCATCAAAGATAAGAGGATCTTTTGGAGTCTCAGTCAAGCTACAATAACTAATCTTTAAGAATTTAAACTTTAAACGGACAAGAACATTTAAGTTTACATTTTAGATGATAAAATGTACAATTGAGTTCTAAAGATGGGTGTCTTTACTGAGATTGTGTTTTGGCATCCCTCAAAACCTACAGCAAAAGATTCTTACTGGGAACTTGGCATTTTTAGCTCTGTTTGCAGGAGTGTAAATGTTGAGGTAAAGACAGTCTTCAGAGATGTCTGGTATTTCTGCCAGCAGTCCACCGAGTTTATCAACCAGATCCAAAACAGCTTCTTTAGACTGAATGCACCTTAAAGAGAGACAATGCTAATTTTACAAATAAAGCCAATAATTCCTCCAAGTATGTTGAAGTTCACATTTCTTACATTGGTGGCTGTTTAGTGGCATCTCTTGCTCCTTCCCATCTTTCTGCAGGCTGAGGTGGAGCCAGTCTCAAGGAAGGGCCAAGGGGTGGCTTGGCAAATGGGACACCCAGGTATGCATGGACGCCAGTCTCCTTCCCTTTCACACTCACATACTCACCTTTCAGGCTCCCGAGCTTTGTGTGGACTGCAGGTGCTGTCAGGATATTAGAAATGACTGAAAATCTTCACATAAAACTTTATATTTAAATAAAATTTCCCGTGAAAAGTACTTTTCTCAAAACATGCAATATCTGATTGCTGTCTACAGCTTGTTGTCAAAAACAAACAATAAAAAGTCACATTTTGCTGTGGACTATGTAATTCCTGTCATTATTGATTATTTAAATTCTGATTTTTACATTTTTGATGCACACCATTTGGTGGATTATGTTAATCGAGCTCAAGCTACAGAGACATGCCTGTTACTTTGATAGTCTGGTGTCTGGTGTTCAGTGTTTTCATTTTGCTTGCCCTTTGTCTCATTATGTTTGATTAGTTCAAGCTGGGTGTCCCTCCTGTTGTCAGTTCCCTTATTACTCCCTTGTGTATTTTAGCCCTGTTTTTTCCTCTGTCCGTTTTTGCGTCGTACACACTCTTTGCTGTGTGTTACACCAATGCTCCTAGGAAATTCCTAGTTCTCTGTTTGCTGCTTTAAGCCATTAGTTTCCTTGTTCCTTAGTTTTTTGGTTTTATTTTCTTATTTCTGATTCCTTGTTTTCAGTTTGGTTTTCTGTAAAAGCATAGAATTATATCCAGCAATAAAGCTGCCGTTTTCAGTTAACATCTTGTGCTTGAGTGCTGCGTTTAGGTCCTACATCCTGACACACAGCTGTACATTGGCATTTAAACTACATGACCATTTTTATTACTATTATTTTTTGTTTGTTTAAGTGGTTTAAATGATCTGACCAAGTGTGATACTTCATCATTTATTTATTTTTTTAAAAAAGCTACTTGCTCACACGGCTCTGGTTTTTTGTTTTGCCATAGACTTCCTTTGATGTGTGTTGCGTCTACAGTGACCCTGGTAAAGAAGCAGAGTTGAAATCTGCAGAAATCTGTTTCTGTTTATTCACAATCACAGCAATACTCCATTTACTCCTTATCGGCATAAAGTTAGCAAAAAATATTGTTTGTTTGTTTTTAAACAGCTTTTTTTGCCAAAGAAAAATAATAAAAATAAAAATAATTAAAAATTGTACAGTCCAATTTAAACAAAACAAAGTCTGATTAATTGCAACCTGTCCTTCTAAAACATTTGACCTACAATCGTCTCACATGCTTGGTTCTTTGCTATCGTTCACCTTTGAACAGAGTGAATAGCCTTTGCAGGTAAGAAGTCACCTGGACTTAGAACACAAAAGTTGATGTTTAATTATCAGCTTTTAAAATGACTATTACTGCCATAATACCATTGATTACTGATTGATTAATATTGTCAGATTTAAACACTAGTTTTTCAAAAAGCAACTCGTGCAAAAAAAGGAAAAGAAAAACATGTACTACATGTAAGTTTAAGGAACACACGCATTACACAGAAATTAGGTGATGTCACAAAGACCGTTTTGCTAAGAACTGCTTTATCCTACTTACCCTGAAGATCTGCAACAACATAGATGAATAAAAATGATATTAAGAAGAAGAAAGACTGCTTTGCATGCAGCTTCATGGTTGGCTCTGTGGATTGCGAAACTCTGCAGATTTCCCAATAATTGAGCGCAGAGCCAAGAAGAGGAAGTATGTCCGCTTATGAAGTTTTCTCCTTTTCTCTTTCACAAAGAGGAAAGGGTAGTTTCTGCAGCAGATATGACGTTATTCAGCCAAACCATCACAGGACTAAAGTCCATTCTAGAGTCTAAACTTTAGGTTCACTCCAGGTCTCACTCCAGAACACTTTCTGCTTCGGATGTCCTGCGTACTTTGCCACTATCGTAATTCACAAATTCACAACTTTTTCTTGCAATCCTTTTTTTTCGTCGGCCTGTCTGAAAAGCTCAAAATGTGAATTTGGTTACAAGTTTACTGATTTGAGCACATGTTGTGCACAGGATCTTGAACTATGATACAGTAATTAATACAAGTGCAGTTGTTTTTGTTTGCATTGCATTTCTCATGACCCACACAGATACAGAGGTGTTGACACAGTTGCTTAAGAGGACTTCGGAAGGTTGAATGTACACAACATGAAATGTTAGAATTAAAACATGAAAAAAAGGCATGTTGCATCTGAAAGTATATTCTAGGGAATGGAGTGCTAAGTTTGCAGTTAATACTAGCACAGGTCACAGACAAACAAAATGCTGCAAAATTGGTTAATCAAATCTTTTTATTTTATAAATGTTTTACAAAACCTATGTTTACAGCGCTTGATTTAAAATATCCTGATACCCTGGATTCAACTAAAAGAAACAAAAGAAAAAAACAAAATATTAATTTAATATTAGAATATGGATAATCTTCACAAGACCTTTAGATAAGGGAATTATGGTTTAGTGTAATTACTTTAAAATTGATGGAGCAGAGACCAGATGTGAGTTTTCTACAGCTCGCTGCGTTCTGCATTTTCCTCATGCTGTTTGATCTTCTCTGGGACGGTCTGAGTCAGGAAGACAAAGCGCTCCTTCTTCAGGTGCTGAGCAGTTACCTGCTTTTTTAAACCAATCGCCAGGTACTTTTCTTCTGCTCCATACTTTGGCCAGTGGACAAGGTTGTGCCCATCAGGAGATCTAAACACATATACATTTGTTATTATGTTCGCCTCTGTCAGTACGCCCCAGGGTGGCTGTGGCTACAATGTAGCTTGCCATCACCAGTGTGTGAATGTGTGTCTGAATGGGTGGATGACTGGATGTGTAAAGCGCTTTGGGGTCCTTGGGGACTAGTAAAGCGCTATATAAATACAGGACATTTACCATTTACCATTCAGTTATTAAAAGTGTGAAGTGTGAAATTTACAACAGTTGGAAATTCCTACCCTGTGCGAGCAAAGTTCCCCCAGTAGCTCATCATGATCTTGCTCAACTGTTCCTCATCCTCAGGGCACGGATCTAAAATGATCATGTTGCAAAACATATTTTTCACACTTGGAAAACAAAACAGATCGAGCACTAAGGCAGATTTCTATGTTATCTTACCGGGTAACCTAACATGGGAAGTTGTGAAGCAAAATCCCAAAACTGTAAAAATTTCATCTCCGTGGTCAGTCCTGACAAAGCTCGGCCTTTTCTGCTGCAGGAATTTGGGAGGATGTTGGTACTCATACAGGTATACAGGAGCGCCTGCATCTGGAATTTGATGAATGTGTGTGATATTTGTTAATGAAAGTGTGTCACAGTAAACATCAAGTGTTGGGTTTTAAACAGATTTGTATAATCTTTCATTAAACAAATTAAATTACCTCTGTGAGCATTAGCAGCTTTAATCGCTGGAATGGTGAAAAACAAATCTCCAAGCATCTCAGTGTACCCATCTCTGTTTTTCACACGGTCGTCACCATTTCCGATATATTCATCAGCTATCACATCTCTGATAAATGCTGCTTTAGGCTTAAAGAAATAAGCAACACATCAGTCAAAGAAGCTCGAGCAGGTCGGGGACAGTAATATTGTAACATCAAGTGGTGTCTGCCTTACGTCGGGGTAGAAGAAGGAAACCATGTTCAAAAGAAATTCCCGATCTAGTCCTTCTGTCCAGTTTTGGGGAGCAAAAAACTGAGGAAATACCAAGCCAAATTACTTTTTATCTTTGCTGTTGTTTTGCAATTTTAAAATTATATTGAGATCTTTATTCAGAAGTTTCTGCAACACTTACTGATACAAGTATCCATCCACCTTCATCATTATTGACACCAGTCATGAATGGAACAGCATGGAGTTCATGTTTACGAAACAGCTCATCCACAGGTTTAGTCAGGAAATGTCCATCAACATTTACTTGAAATCTCAAATTTGGATCCTTGAGAGAATTAAATATACAAAAGTAAAAGATGTGATAGCATGAACAGAGCTGAGGGAGAAATCAAAGGCTTCAAAGAAATATTGTAGAAGACATAATAATCATATTCAGCATGCTCTATCATGTTTGCACCCATTACCTCACCTGTGTAAAACCCACTATAGTATCAATATCAAGGTTTCTCATGCAGTCACTGATCTTCTTTGTGCTTTTGAGACTGCAGCCAGATGCGTTTGCAATTGCCTGAGGTGAAATGGCAAATATTTGTCAAAACAATTCCATTTTAATATTCTCATTATTCTGCAACAAAAATGTTTTTAACCCTCCAAAAAAGGAAGAATATGGATAATTAACCTGCGCCATTGGTAGAGGATCATTTGCCACAAGTACATTCATTGCAGCTGTGCCACTCTCAGCAATAGCACGATGAAACAGCCCATCAGACAGTGGTGACAGGAGCTGATGATTCAAGTAACACATCACATATTAATTTTTGTTCTAGAGTGAAAAGGTTTTTTTAAAGTTCCTTTGACTGTAGATTACCAGAAGAGACACGCTCACTCCACCAGCAGACTCTCCAAATATGGTAACTAATCCTGGGTCTCCTCCAAAGTTGTGAATGTGCTGCTGGATCCACTTGAGAGCTTCAACCTGGTCCAGGAGGCCAAAGTTCCCTGAAATGTGCTCATCTCCAGTGCTGATAGAACAAAATGTTATTTTTATAATGTATTTTCCCTGATTGAAACAGCTTTTTACAAGACACTTCTATTCATGTGTTATTTACAGCAGCTAGTAGAGGATTCTGAAAACCACTTTTGCATTCTGTTTGTCCAGTTGGGCAGTAGCTGCATATGCCACTTCCACATATTTGCTGAAGCTGAGTGACACGGTAAGGCAGTAAAAAATTTACCAAGCTATGTTTATACCTTGTGATAAATAAAGCAAACTTTCAATTTTTTGTCTTATAAAATCAGATAAAAACACAGAAAAACAAAACCACAGTATGTTCTACTTTCATAACTTGAGTTCATTTATATTTCCATGGGTCCAACATCGAGGGAACAATTTACCAGGCCTGGGAAAGGGTTACTATGGCCCCAATGCTTGAACAAGGGAGATGGGAGGCACCGTAGGGGTTGGGTACAGTGTGTGCCAGTGGCGATCAAGGATGGAGACCCTGGGAGACTGATGCCCACTACTAAAGCTGGTGATGGAGACATGGAATGTCACCTTTCTGGCGGAGAAGAAGTTTCAGTTAGTGTGGGAGGTTGAGAGATACTGCCTAGATATAGTCAGGCTCACCTGAAGGTGTGTCTTTGGCTCTAGAACCAGTCTTCTGGAGAGTCTAGTAAAAACTTGTGTGAGAGGAATTTAATAAGGCCATGAAAAAAGACTCAGATCTTATTGGAGCAATTCTGGAACACTATCAGGCAGCTCAGGAGGGGAAAGGGGTGCTTTACCGACATTGTGTAAAGTGCTGGTGGAGTGCTGCTGATTTCAACTGAGGATATTGTCAGGCGGCAAAAGGAAGCAGGACCTCCTTTCTCTCACTGACATGTCTCCTGTAGCAGGAGCAGAGTCTGGCGACAAGTGGGGCACCTAATGCTTAACCAGGGGAGAGTTCACTGAAGCAGTTAAACAACTCCTTGGTGGCAGGGCCCCTGGAGTGGATGAGGTTCGCCTTGAGTTCTGTAAGGCAATGGATATTGTAGGACTGTCTTGGTTGACACGTCTCTACAATGTTGCGGGGAGATCAGGGGCCATACCACTAGACTGGCAGACCTGGGTTGTGCTTCCCATCTTCCAGAAGGGGGGATAAGACAGTCTGTTCCAATTATATGGGGATCACACTCCTCATCCTCCACAGGAAATTTTATGCCAGGGTTCTGGAATAGAGAGTGTGTCAATTAGTCGAACTGCTAGTACTGGAGGAACAATGTGCTTTTCCTCCCGCTCCTCCCGGGTGCGGAACACAGCTCTTTGTTCTCTCGAGGATATTTGAGGGTCTATCGCAGTTTGCCCAAGCAGCCTACATGTGTTGTGTTGACTTGGAGAAGGCCTTCAGTTAAGTCCTTCAGAGTATTCTTCTGTGAGAAGCTTCAGTAGTATGGGGGTGTGAGGCCCATTGTCATGGTTCATTCTGTCCTTATACAACTGTTGCAAGAGCTTGGTTTGCATTGCTGACAATAAATCGTAATTGTTCCTCGGGGGTGCTGGACTCCACCACGGTTGCCCTTTATCACAGATTCTGTTCATAATTTTTATGGACAGATTGGTGCTGTGACAATGAGCTTTCTCCCAAGGGTGACTGGCCTCTCTCTTAGAGATGGGGTGAGGAGTTTGGACATTCAGGAGGGGCTCAGAGCACTCTTCTTCCAGATCTAAAAGGAGCCAGTTAAGGTGGTTTAGGCATCTACTAGATGCCTCCTGGATGCCTCCTTGGTGAGGAGTTCTGGGCTCCCAGTGTTCCACTAGGAGGAGGCCACGGGGCCGACCCGTTGGAGAGATTATGGATGGATGGAGTTTATTTACCTGAGAAAACCCAGAAGTCCCAAGCGATACTGGATCAGAACCACAACCACGTCCTGGTAAGCAGCCAAGGCAGAGCCATCATATGTTGAAGCTGATCCCAGCGTAAAGCCCCCACCATGAATCCAGACCATGACCTAGAAAGAATAATAAAAGAGCTTTCCATCAAAGATTAGAGGATCTTTTGGAGTCTCAGTCAAGCTACAAAAACTAATCTTTAAGAATTTAAACTTTAAACAGAGAAAACTGTAATGTAAACTTAAGTTTACATTTTAGATGATAAAATGTGCAATTGAGTTCTAAAGATGGGTGTCTTTACTGAGATTGTGTTTTGGCATCCCTCAAAACCTATAGCAAAAGATTCTTACTGGGAGCTTGGCATTTTTAGCTCTGTTTGCAGGAGTGTAAATGTTGAGGTAAAGACAGTCTTCAGAGATGTCTGGTATTTCTGCCAGCAGTCCACCGAGTTTATCAACCAGATCCAAAACAGCTTCTTTAGACTGAATGCACCTT